CTTTCTCTTTGAACCACTTTTCAGGGTTTACTTTTCCATTTGCTTTAAATACAATCGGTTGAACTTTTGTCCCTAACTGAAAATGTAGTGTGGTAAATTGTGTTTGATTACCCAACTATTATTTTCACCCCACTTAACCTGCTCATCACAGAAAGTCACAAGTTCTTTTGCTGAACCATCGCCAGTGCTTACCCTTAATCTTTGAACATTGTACATGTTCTCATCTTCTTTTTCACATTAAATCCCAATAAGTTACTGCATTTTCCCAACTGCTGGTCATTATTTACTTAAGTCAAACTTCTAATGTGTTAATTTAAATGTTAGTGGATGTACTTGATAAAACAGAAATATCTTAAACATGACAAAAAAAAAAAACCCAACATGATGCACAGAGCAATTGTGCTTTATCTGTTTGTTAATAACATGTAGTATACATTACTGCCAAATCCTTAAACCTTGCTCTGTTTTCTTACATAATTCAAAACAACATGTATTCATTTGGTGTAAATGTGATGTTTTTTGTAATATTTTGCATATATGTAATAAATTTGTGCCTTCTGCTGCATATTCAGTAAAAGTGGTTTGTTTTTCAAGTCATTTTACATCATTGAATATAATACCAACGGGCAGTGATATTTATATGTAATCCCATGCCAATTACCTACTTTAGATTTTTAAGATGACAGGCCTAACCTGCTACCAGCTGTTGCATCGATCACATGAATGATCCTCTCCATCATTCATGTTCTCCAAGCAGAATGCTCATCTGTTCCACAACTGGATTTCCCACTCACTGAATCCTTTGGGCTACAGATGTTCCCTGAGCCAACATTGTTGGGTATAAAGCTTTCCCAAAGTCTTGCAGATATTCAACAGCTGTCAGGAATCTGAGACAGATGCATATTTTGAATGGATATTAAAGGCTACACTGCATAAGAAGCCCACTTTAATATGTTATTTAAACGAACAGTATCAAATGCATTTTTTTCTAAAGGTACCTGCATGACAAAGTAGCATTACTACTAGGGGTGCAACGATACTCATATCGATATTGAACCGTCCATACAGTGCTTTCTGTTTGGTATGCATATGTATCGAACAATACAACATTTTTTATTTATTTTATCAACTTTTCTTCTGACGATGCTGTCTGTGTTGAGAGCTCAGTGGATCTGCGTTCGACTACTCCGCCTAGGCTGCACTGTGGAGTGCAGATCCACTGAGCGCAGCGCAAGCTAGCAAGACAGAAGCTAAGCTCGTTGCAACATGGCAAATGCCTCAACGCTACCCGAAATTTAACCTCCCCCACCCTCATTCAAATCTGGCGTTTGGAACTATTTTGGTTTTCATGTGAAGTATGACCCTGAAGGTAAGCGAGTCATGGACAAAAGTAAAACAGTATGTCGGATGTGCCACGCAATGCTCAATTTGTGGGAACTACTGCGTTAGCGCAGTTAGCTTGTCAACGTGTTGACATGGTCCAGCCCCACGCACTGGGCGATCCGTGGTAACTCGTTAACGGAGATTAGCCGCGTTATGGCGTTAACGTCATTTTAACGACATTAACGCTGACAGCACTAGTGGGAACACAACGAATATGACTGCACATTTAGGCCACATCATCCTAGTGCAAAGACAAGTGGAAGCAGACAAAAACAACAAGCACGGATGCTACAAACTTTCCCCGAGTCATTTAGACAGCCGGTAGCACATGATTCTCCTTATGGGGACCTGATATGTTTAATATGCTGCTGAGAGTATACCCCAGAAGAAGTGTATAGTATAGCTTTTATTTTGGAAAGAGACATTTCTCTGTAATAAACTCTCTTTTCCAAAGATGAGTGATTTCTCGATCAGATAGATTTATTTTTTTTATTTTGTTGTTTCAGCAACATTAAATTTAAAAAACTGTACTTTTGAGTTAAAATATATATTTATAATTTTAATAAATGATAAATTAAAATGACATGAACATTTTTTGTATTGAAAAAATATCAAACCCTGTCACCAAAGTATGGAACTGAATTTTGTGTATTGTTGCACCCCTAATTACTACAGGTGTACTAGTAAAGTTCCACATTTTAAATTTTATTTCAGTAAAGCAACAACAATATAATATAACTACACAATTACTTAAACAATAGCATTAATATGATTGCTATTTAGATTTAAATGCATTATTTTTCTATATATATTATGTAATATTTATTAAGTATTAATACTGCGGGAAAGCCTCAAATGATACTCAATAATATATGATCAATATTAATGCACTGATACATTAACGTGTAGACATTTAATATTAATGTAATCAGTGTTAGCATTCTGATATTGCACCTTAATTAATATATGAATTTATTATAATCATTATGAAAGATAATAAAGACATGAAGAGAACAATGCTGTGTTATAGAGATATTTTGCAAAATAAATGTTGTGACGTAAACCAAAAACATTTTCCAGAAACTGTAATGATTTCTATACTATCTTATAACAAAAAACAACCAAAGTACAAAACTGAAGAAGCCACTTGGATGAGTGACAAAATGTTCCTCCCACTAAAAACGCTACTTCCAGATGAACAGAATCAGCTTTTTGGGAACTTTTTGGGAACCAAAGTATAACAAAGTCATTTCTATTAAATTGCATTTAATAACAGCACGTGTATACATTTATTTGGTTATTAACATATGCTAAAGTGTGGAGTTAAACCATTTCACACAAAGCTAAACAATAAGTAAATTAAATGTCTGTTAAAATGTTGACATTAAAAGACTTTAGTTATACATTTTTACAGCTGCCTCACTGATTCACTGATTTGTGGGGATATAACATCAAGATAAAAATTATGCCATTCTCCAGAAAAAATGTGCACTAAAAACCACGTCAAAGATGGCATGGCACCGATAGAAGAATATCAGCATGAGCCTGCAAGTCCCATAAGCCTTTGCCAGGACGTTCCCCCCAGGAGTCCTCAACTCATGTTCCACAGTTTTGTAATGCCATAAAGGATGAAGAGTGTTTCCCCAGGCACCCAAACTTTTCTGCTTTGCTGTGTGGCATGCTGTTTCATCAGTGTCGTTTAGGTGATTTTTCCTCTTGAGTAACCACCTAGTTGTGGAGGTGGGTGAAGGTTGTCGTGAAAGGGAGCTCTCTTGGCTGGGTGCCAGAGTGTGTTTCTGGCTTTTGGGGATGATGGGTGCTAGGCATGCCGGGTATCATCTGTATGTGTAGGTGTGTGTGTGTGTGTGTGTGTGAGTGTATGTGTGTGTCTTCTCCCATGGGGATCCTTGGCAGTAGGTGTGACATGTAGTAATGAGAAATTATGCTGCACAGTGCAAAACCTCTTCTGAACGGGGGTCACCCATTGTCAGCTCTGCCAAGCGCGTAACAGAGCAACAACTTACCCTTTAATGAAAGCTGTCATGTTTTTTAGGAGACTTACTTACTAGTTACTATTTATTTATATTCTGTTTTCTTGAATTTTCTGACTTAAAAGTATCCACAAATATGTGTTACAGTTCCAGCTCATTGTCAGAGTTTTATAATCACTTGTCACCTTAAATGTACGGACACTGTTGTGGACTTCAGTAGCTATGAAAGTGGTCATTTATTATTAGAAAGCATTACTTCTATGCATTTGGGTTTTTTTTACTTTGCACATTACACATGCACATTAACAATGTTGCCGTTTTGTTTTGCTTAGTCCAGTGCACTTTGTCATTATTAAAATGGGGCAATAATGGAGGGATTAGATGAAAACACTAAAAAACACAAGCCACGTGGCAGACATTCTATTGACATAAACATTGATGACATAAGTTCACTAAATCTAATCTAAAGGGGTTGTCACATAAAAAAGTAAAGTTTTAATCTTCTCAGCATTTAATGAGTCCAAGGATATAGAACTGCTTAATTTAGAGTGCTACATTTTAACTGTCAGGATATATGAATTCTATTTTAATATAATAACACAGTAAGTCTTATATTAGGTGTCATATTTTTGCCATATATTCAATGAAAGTACTCCTGTGAATTTTTTAATTATTTGTAATATTTACACACTGAAACTTAGGCGCTACGCTGGTGTCACCTGTTCGCAACGCGACTACAGTTGAGTTATCCAATTAAAAGCTGATCTGTATTTAAGTTACATTTTGTAACAAATCTCTGTTCACTTTTTGTATGCAAACCATTTTTTCTGCTCACCTTGAATGACTTTATACAAGTCAAGTGTTCTCCTTTCAGAGGTGTACTGTCCTATGAAACAATTGTCATTCCTATTTGTAAAGTCAACACTGAAAACTTTGAAAAGTATTCACAAGAACAAAGAAGAGAATCAAGGAAAAGTGACTCTCCAGATTTTGTTTGCATACAGCTGAAGTGATCGCTCCATTTTGTCCTCTCTTGGCTCTCTGCTGTACTTGTGTGTCAACTCCACCCTTAGTGAAACAAACTCATCAAACTCCAGCTTTGGTTCATCCATATCACAGACAAAGAGAGAAAAGAGAGTGACAAAGTCGGTCATATATCCTGGTCACTATGTTATTTTCAGTTGAACCCTCCCACTCTGGAAGCTGTTGCTGGTTGGGTACTGAACCAGCACATTTGTAAAAGGGCAAAAGAATGAAACTGGGTCTCTACAGACAAATACGTTACCAAACTCTTCTAGGGTGTTTTAAGTGATTAATGAGATGGATTTCTTTTGTAGTTTATGCATTTAATCATAGATGAATATTATTTAATGCAATATATAGCAATATAATCAAATGTTTGACATGCAGAAAAAGTTTAAATCACCACAATGACATATGATTTTAGCTTTTAGTTTGTGTTTTGATCTCTCAAGACAGTTAAGTACAATAAAAAACACAACTTGCAATTACATGTGCACTTTAAATCTGAAAACTCTCAGTTACCTTAATTCCCCCCTTCCTTTCATTAAACATTAACAGTGGTGTGTAATAAGCTTTTCTTTCTCCTGTCTCCTGATACTGCAGGATGTGCCTTTCTAACATACTGTGCCAGAGAGTCAGCACTGAAGGCCCAGAGCGCCCTCCATGAACAGAAGACTCTGCCAGGGGTAAGTGCCCCCAATCTGCCCTCTGTCATAGGCTAAAGCCCTTGGGGCAGCCAGCCTGGCATGGGAACCTGCATTAACATAGGAATTATATCACACACACACACCGCCAGAGTAAGGCACATGGGGACAGAGTATACGTTAAGACACAGAGACACACACAGATATGGAAAACAGATGAAGGGAGTCGCTCATACTTTCTCAGACTCCCTCTTAGGCTCTGTTTCTTGCTCATTGGAACACCCATTCTTTTTCACTTAATTACACACGCAAACTTGCACAGACATACTAAAAGAGTGTGAGTGGCCTATCTCACCTTGCAGTGTCTTATTACACTAATCACCCCGCCGGAGATATTTGATAAGCGCTTCTTCATACCAGCCCGTGCCGTCCTTCTCTTGTCCTCTCACAATATGGCTGCCACAGACAATAATTGCCTTGAGGAATCCCACTCTCATTATCACATATAATCAAACAGTAAGTATAAACAATCATTTTTATCATGTATATCACCATCTGGTGTTTTTGTTTTAATTCTCCTCACATTTTTTTTTTCACTGTTTGCCTTTGGCGGGCAGGTAACTTTTTCAATTAAAATAATGGGCTCTTCAAACGACACAGGTAAACGGTACCCAGTAGTGGGCTCTTAAGTCTACCCAGGAGGAGACCCTCAATCTGGGATGAGTGTGAGCTTGTGGTGTCTTTCTTTATTTGATGCGTGCAAGGGGACTTTGACTCACACATCAGGGGAATTATCAAGGTGTGACTGAATTATGCTTGCGTGTTCCTAAGAAAAAGACTCCCCCCCCCCTCATTTACTTTCAACACTAAAATATCCTCCCAGGTTGGGGCTTTAATCAGAGCCCAAGGATTGTCGTCTCAATCTCCAGGGAGAAAAAGAGGTAAAGAGACACTATAGGAGATGACACAATAAGGAAAGATGGAAGAAAGTAAGCAAAATGAATGGTTTATCAAGTAGGGGGAAGCGGTAGTTGTAGCTTTTGGGTCGGGCTTGCAATGGTTTAACTCTGTTGGGTTAACAATTTGTTTGCGCTTGACTGCATATCATAAATACCTTACTGAATGTTAGACACACTGGTATACTGTAGAGAAAGTATCCCTGGGAGACCGGGCTCCCTGGCTCCTTACCACCTCCCGCAGCTTCATAATGAGATGATTGTCATGATGGTCCTGGATAGGTGTTCTGTCTTTATTGCCCTCATGGAGGGACATTATTGTTTGTCTTCTATCTAGAAAGAGGTTAATGGCATGTTCTTTGGGGTTTGAGTAAACATTTCCCCTGTGCAGCTCACAGTGAGGGGTCAGTCCTGCAATCTCAGGCTGAGCACAGACTGCATACAGAGGACTAATAAAGACGTTCTGTCTTTTCCTCTCTCTCGCTCTCTTTCTCCCTGTCTTTGCCTCTCTCTCTGTGCGTGTGTGTGTGTGTGTGTGTGCGCCCATGTGTGTATGAGACACATAAAGTGAGAGAGATATAGGGAAAGAGACAATGGTGGAAATAATAATGCAAGAGAAACAAAGACAGACAGAAGCTGGGAGAGGTGACACTTCTGGACAAGCCTCATTTTCACTGTCATGGCCTGATGGTTTGAGATGCCCAGTTGTATAATGCTGCCATTTTAGTGGCGTCTCACCACAGTGCTACAGACATGATTGCTCATTTCAGTAGTGGCTATGTTACTGTCAGGTAACCAAATGTAAATTTGTTCATATAAGACATGTAGCTTAAAAAAGGTAGCTGTGACTCAGGGTCATCTGCTGATCGGAGGCTTGATGGACTACCCAGCATGTCATGTTAAAGTGTCTTTGAGTAAAATACTGAACCCTGAGTTACCCCGAATCCATTAGAATGTGACTGTGGATGTTATATTAATAGTGCTTGGGCGAATGGGTGAATGGCTGTTGTAGTTGTAAAGCACTTTGAGTGCTCTAATAGAGTAGAAAAGCACTATATAAGAACCAGTCAATTTACTCTCTATCTCACAGGGATGGATATGGGACAAATAATATAGATATTGAAGCTTATAATTTAGTTAAATGACACTTAGGAACCACTGCATTGCTATTTTGAAATGTGACCTGACAGCCATGAACCTAATGAATTATGTTAATCTATTTTTATAGATGTGTATAGTTTGCAGTGTATAGTCTGCATTGCCAAGTCTTTGGTTGGCTTCCTTATTTAGATCTAAAGGTGAATATACTTCTCTGTAAAATTCTGCATGATTAGAAAACACACAAATAACAAAATCAGCAAGCAAACTAAAAAACAATATTAAAAAATGAAGCCAGAACATTGTGAGCATAATTTGAGTCTTTTAGGCATCTGTGAACTTGTGAATAGTCCCAAGTGAACAGAGCGCACAGGTCGCAAGAGCTTCCCAGTTCTTAATGAGTCCTTGAGTTCTCCTTTTATTGCTTTTATTGGCTACATTATGATTTGCTCAAGGATGATTAGCTGAAAGAAAAAGAAAACAGAAAGACAACATTGACTAGGTAATGTCTCAGGCATAATTCATGAAGAAGACTGAGTAAATATTATCAATAACTGTTTTATTATAGCCGATTGCTGCAGTGGACACTGTAGACTTGGCTGGCTTTCCCAACATGTGTTGTAAACTTAAAAGCATACTTGTCCTAAATGCGCTGTTATCTTACCACACAACATATTTCTTTTATTTTACAAGAAAAGTCCAGATATTTTCATGCCACTGCATTCTATTTTTCAGCATGAGAAGATTATAGGTAACAGTGTGAACAGGCAGGAGGAACAGATTATATTGCATAGTATCAGCACTATCACATTAAGATTAACGATGACTTTTACATTTTTCAAAAAAAAAGTTTTGTAGTGTTCACTGTACATCAGTTGCCTCTGGGGAATCGGGCGCTGTCATCTATGGCTAAAGGGATCTTTGTTTATATTGTTTGATTAATTGCATGTAAAGAGCATAATGAGCTCTTGATGTCCTGTGCAACAGATCCTGCTGTTACAGTTTGTATAGTAAATGTAATCAGAGATTGAGTCTCTTGCCCTTGGTGAGCTCATTGTGCTGTTGTATTTGCACTTACATGCGGCATATTCCTCAGTATAAGGCAGGATAGTACTGAATGTAGACAGGTTAGGCTATTCCTGTGAGTGATTATGTTTACATAAGTCCAGTGTTATTATCCAATTAATTCTTTGTTATCAGCTGTTATTATGCCAATGAATTATACGAGATCACCTACACTGCCATCAGTCTCAACAGGCTGTTATTACCTTATGGTGGTGATGCCAAATGGTAGTGCTTTGCAGTTTTTATTTCTTTGGTTTGTTTGGTCACCGAAATCGTCTGGTTAGTCTTTGGAAAAGATAGCAGTTTAAGTTTAATTTGTCACACAAAACCTTTCTCTTCACGTCTACTTGAGGCAGTAAGTTAGGACAACAGATTATTAGTGAGTCTTTTAGAGGCTTTGGGTGGGCAATGCCTGTGTAAATTTTACATGCAGTTAAACAAAGAAGGCCAGTGGTCATCTTTGTAATTTGGACATCTTTCTCTTAGTTATATCTATTGAAGTTAATGCAACTGAGAACGGCCATTTAATAGGGTAACAAAATTTGGGATATTTCCCTTCAGATCTGATTGACTCCTAGAAGATTTATATAAAATATAGTTCAAGACTTTCTTTTTTTTTTTTTTTAAATCAATGCAATTTTTGTAGACAGGTAAATTGTTGATTACAGAAAAAAATGCTGATGACCAAATACTTTCCTCTGATTGCCCATAAAGCTTATAGCGGCCATGATTCTGTCTTTGTTATGCATTTGGCAATAAAGGCTGCAAGGAAGTATAAATAATACTTGCAGGAGCAGAGTGTTATTTACAACTTTTTGCCAAATAGCCTTCCAACATAGTCCTACTGGAGCTATGAATTTTCAAGTGAGCCTTGTGCTCTCCTTTCAGGGCAGTGCTCCTTTCACCTATAAGGCCAATTAGCTCTTAGTGTTCACATGTAACAAGCCTTTTAATTGGGTGCGGCTGAAGCCCAAATGCCAATTAAAAACTTCTAGACAAAAAAAAATATCTCTGTTTCTTGTTCATTTCACTATGCATTTTCCTATCACACTCACTACTGTTTTCCCTTTACTGTATGTGAACTTGTAGAATATATATGTATTAACTATGGGACGGTGGGGTCGGACCCCTACATAGCACTTATTATTTGCTTAGAATTTTCAGCTGAAGAATCCTCATTTCTTGGTTTCTGAGTGAAAGTACCAGCAGCATCAGCCTGCTGTATTGACAAGGCAACCAAGCACAACAGTGGAGAAGATATGAAAACAGCTACAAACTCATTCAGAAGTGTTTCACTTCAAATATGAAAGGGTAAGCTTTAAGGTATCAACTTCCCCCAAAGTGGATAGAAAGATGCTTGATTTTCTTGTATTTCTTTCTCCTTCTATGCATGAAAAGTGTAGAAAATTGACTTCAGTATGTGTCACACAAAATGGGTCAGGAGCAGATTGTGCAATACCAGTATTATGTGTCACTAAGCACACCGCCATGGGGCCATGGATCAGCGCATCCGTGTTTTTGACACACTCTCTCCCCACGTCACACCACAGACGTGCCCACCATACACTAGCCGTATGTCTCTGTCTGAGTCTCAGTGAATGCTGAGAATGAGCAACTGGATTTTTTTTTTCATCCTACCAAAATCACACATACCTTACATGGGCAGTGAGTTTGAACATAAGAAAAAAAAGAGATGCGTTTCCTGTAATTTTGTTATTACTACTTTTTTTTCTTCTTTTTCCTGGAAAGTTAGTAGGAAATTTAGCAAGAGACACAAGTTATGCACATATGTTGATACTCATATTGTCATTTATCAAAACAAAACAAAAAATTATTCAGTAGTAATGGATTTATGAGGAATATTCCAGTAGTGCGTTGCGTGATATTTGGAGTGTTAAAGTGTCTTATCAGCAGACGCGCTGA